TAATATTGCACTATGGTTCAGAATTTTTATTTGTTTTCTCTATAACTCTCCTGAATTTCTTTTTCCAGAAATTTCGCTACAAATATTTTAACTTTTATTATTTCTATATTTCTTTTCTCAACATAGACCTCCAACATATATTCGCAACATAGATTTTCTTTGGTTTATTTATTAATTCTACATTGTTGACAATTCGATTAGAAAACAAAAAGGGGGTCTAACCACTAGCGGATCTAGCATTTAATTTTTTTGGGGGGAGGGGGGGAGGCTTCAGCCCGAAAGCTTTTTTTTTCATATATATAAAATGATAATTAATTGAAAAAAAAAAGAAACTAACTAACTGTATGAAATGGAGTTAAAGTGATTCTTGAAGTCCTATTAAATGTAATTACATGAACAATAATACTTTTATTGTTTTTTTTTTAATAGTTTTTTTCTATAAAACATAGCTATATTTTATCATTTTGTGGGGCTTCAGCCCGAAAGCTCCCCTCCTCTCCCCATAGATTCGCCGTGGGTCTAACATATGTTTAACATATTAGTTAATCTGATTAAGATTTAGAAATCAAAACCGTTTGTTAAGAAAAAAAAATATAGAATAACCTATTTTTAGTGCTTTAGGCTCATGTAACGCCAAAAGCCATAATCATTGTTTTATATATGTTGTCCTGTGCTATGAAAAATGTTTTTATCACTAGCAAATAGTTTAAAGTTTTATCTATAATCAATTTTTTATTTTTTATTTAAATTTTTTATTTAAAAATTAATACATTCTGCCGCATTGGAGGGCATTAATATTAGGGCTACATTAAACACATAGTCATTAAATTAAGCTTAGTGCTTGCCAGTAGTGGATCCAGGAGCTAATTTTTGTGGTAGCTTTATATATATATTTTTTTTTATTCATTTTAATAATAGTAATTAATCTTGAAGAAAAAAAACTACTTATATAAAATGGTGTTTGAATGGTATATAAAGAAAAAAAAAATTAAAAATGAATTTCGGAAAAATAATGCTTTTAGGGTTATTAGGATATAGTTTTTTATATTTCTCTTGAGACTTGTAGCTGTATTTGCATTTTAATTTAAAAAAAAAGGATATATTGCAATTATTTAAATATTCAGCTTAGATGACTCTCATAAACAACTATGGACCAATAAAAAAAAAGTTTCCATTTTTGGTGAGCTTCAGTCCAAAAATTGATGTAAATAAAAATGTTTTGCTTTATTTTCTTATTTATTTTTCATCAACCAAAGTTTGCCAAAATATGATTGATAATAGTCTTAAAATAGTGTTCTCATTCTTAATAAATGTTAAATATAACTAAGGAAAATATTAAATTTTTATTTTCACTCTTCAAATTAATACCTTTAATATACAATTTCATATAAATTTAATAATAAATTAAAATAGTGCCCTTATTCTTTTTTTTTCAAGGAAAATATTAAATTGTTATTTTTCACTCATGTAATTTAATGTAACTTTTAATGAAATTAATGTACTTTTAATGTAAATATTTTTATAAATTTAATAATAAACTAAACTGTTTTAGTTTATTGTTTTTCAAGGAAAATATATTTTTCTTTATTTTCACTGTTAAAATTAATACCGTTAATTTAAAATTGTATACACAATTAATTTTTTTTTTTTTAATGCTCATTTCAAATGATTCCATCTGTTGGGAAAAAAATTTGAATTTTTTTTTTAGATGTTCACTGACTGCTAAAATTCAAGAAATTTATTTCATCAGCTTTTTAAAAAATAAATTTAATATCGAAATAAATATAAATTCCTATAATGTCTGAAGTAGAGTATGTATTTGCAAAAAACAAATATGAGTAAACCAGAAAAATAAGCTATATTGCTGTTTTTTTTTTAGGTTTAATTGAAATTTGATGTTTAAGCCTTTATAAAGTGACAACGTTTATTATAAAATTAATTATTTGTCTTAACTTATGTATAAAAACTATTTGTCTTAACTTATGTATAAAAACGAGAATCAAAACATATGAGTGTACAAAATATTATGATTAAGGTTACTAGTGTACTCTCGCGGCTTTAAGCTCAACTACTTCAATCAATAAGCTTTCGTATTTAGACAGTAGAGTGCACAGTTAATGCTATATTTAATTTTTATTTTATGCTGAATTATAAGTTTTAATGAAATTAATGTGGTGTAACAAATATATATACATCAGTTAGATTACTATAAATATAATGCAAAATAATAGCTTAAAAGTTTAAATGTTATTAACGAATCCAAAATTTCAAATCTACATTTGATGGCTGTATATTAATTGACAGACAACAATTTAATTTAAGAAAAAAATATTTTTAAAAAATGGAAAAACATTACTTTATCAATTTAAAACAGCTTTTCTTAAATAAATTGCATTTATTGACCTTGACTGACCAGTAATGAGTACAATAGTTAATTTCTTGTAGGATTTATTTTTTATTATATTAAGTACTTATGTTTTTTAACACACATACATTTTTTCTATTTATTCGTTTACTTTTCCAATTTTTTACTTACATTTTGTTGAAACTTGTTTATGAAATGTAAAACACTAGCAATCTCCCATTTAATAAACATTTAACCCATTTCTTCCCACAGATGGGTTTATGCATTGTTAATGATTATATATTTTTTCTTCATACTAGTATGGGATTTTTATTTTTATTCTTTGCTTTTGTAATAAATAGTTTTTTGTTTTATTCCTTTAATTAATGTCTAGAATTCAACATGAGTATATAAAATATTTTTAAAAAATTTAAATTGTTTTGTGAATTTGGAAACTTAAAAAAATGTAAACTTTAGAAATATGAAATTAAAAAAAAATATTGAAATGTCGAGTAAATTATTTATGGTCTTTTTTATTGAAGTTATTCTTCTTCTTCATTGTAAAACAAATAATTAGACATTTGTAGTGATAATGTAATGGATGAAATCCTTTGGCCAGTAGTAAGTCCCTGATGGTGCATAAAATCACCTTCCTAAGGGGCACAAGAATGGTGCTGCCTTCCTCTCTCAGCTGTTGCTATTCTACTTAATTTTGACTACTGAATGTGCAAAGGACGTATTGTTTTTATGTTAATCTTAGAGTTGCTGATAAGTTAAATTTGATCTGTTATAGTTATTAGTATTTTCGTTGTTTCCAATTCAAGAATTGGTTACTAATGGAAAAAATGATCTTTTTTTTACTGGAATTAGCAATTTTTAAGAATTCTACATAATGGAAGCTTTTTGGATTGTGCCCAGGACAAAAATAACTACCGCAAAATTCATACAAATTTACAAACGTAAGAAATGTTAGGAGTCCCTTCACCAACCAAGACTGTATTAATGAATAGAACAAAAACAAGTTTTGTAGTTGTTTTTTTTTAAAAATAATTATGCAGGTATTTATCTTGATTAAAAGCATGCAATCATAAATATGAAAATTGTTTTCATGCAGTATATATACATATTTTTTTTACTTTTACATCTTTATCCACATGGAGGTATAAACATCATTTAAAAAAATAGTGTTCCTAAATGGCAACAATTTTAACTAAATATAAATGGAAGGTGTAAAATTATGTACAGAAAATGTTGTTAATAGAACAAAGTACAAACAAATTTTTGGAATGGAAATGGGTGGAATATTTTGAATAAACCTTAGTGGGATTTACATAAACAAATTGCTATCAGATGCATTGGACAAATTAAACATTAATCCAAGAGTACTTTTAAAATATGTGAATGTCATTTTTTGTATTATGAAAAATAATAAGATAGATCTGCTTCTTAACAACTTAAATGACTATCACGAAAAAATCAATTTTACAATAGAAAATGAGAATAATAACTCAATAAGATTTCTATACATGAAAATAAGTCAAGAAAATGAGAGATCAATAATGGAATGGTCGTAATAATAAAAATGAGTAAAATCATCTTAAATTACTATTCAAACCACCCCCATCACATGAAAATTAATATCATTAAAAATTGTATAAACATGACAGTTACAATAACTAATGAGACAGAATTGAAATAAAAAAAATAAAAAAACCAAGATATACAAATTGTTTTTGGACAATTTCTATCCAAAAGAAATTGTCAAAAAAGCATGAAAGAATGGCATAAATATAAACAAAAAATGAGTTCCAAGGCAGAAAAACAAGATAGTGTTAAATACAAAACATGTACTTACATCAATAATTTGTCACATAGTTTAAATAGAATTTTTACTAAATACAATGTACCTGAATATAAATTTGGGTATAAACCTACTAATAAAATAGCAGATTTATACAACATGAAAGACGAAATAAAAAAAATAAAACAACAGGTGTGATATATAAGATAAACTGCCCAGGGATATATTGTGGTGAAAGTGGGCAATACTTAAAACACAGAATATATCACCATAAAAATGATTGTAAAAATAAAGAAAATCAAAAACATAAAAATAAAACAGCATTAACACAACACCATGCAGAGTTAGGCTATAATTTTGATTTTGATGAATTAGAGATTAATAAATATAGAAGAAAATTGTTAGAAGCCATTATCATTACAGGAAAATTAAACAATGCTATCAATTTCAAAACAGACTCACAAAATATTAATAAATCATATACTGAATTAGTAAATAAACTAAAAAAAAACAAAAAAAATAGTTGGTCACCCCTGAAGTTGGTAGTAGGAAAAGTATGTTAAGATGTCACTTCTTCTTCTTCCTCCTTGAGCCTTTCAGTGTGGAGGTGTCTCAGTCCATGCCATCCGCGCATCCCGATCTTTGGCCAATGCCTTCATGGCATTCAGCCCGCGTCCTCTTTGCTGTCCCAGCTTGGAGATGTGGTCCGTCCACGTTAATCTAGGTCTTCCCCGGGGACATCTTCCAGTTGGCCTAGCTTCGAAGTACTTCCTTGGATCTCTATCTTCCTCCATTCGGCAAAGGTGGCCAAACCACCTCTTTTACAGCTGAAACTCCGAGGTCCTCTCGTATTTGATGATTTCTGACCGGATCTCTTCTAGTTCGACCAGCCACTCTCCTCAGGTATCTCATTTCTGTAGCTGTTACTCGGCTACAGTGCTTGTCCAGTGGGACCCAGCTTTCGCTTCAATAGAGAAGAGTAGGTAGGTATATTGCCTTGAAAATGTTCACTCCACTCTTTCCAGCAATTGTGTTGCATAGTTGCTAGTAGACATTATATGCCTTGAGATGCCACACGAAGTGAAAATATGAATAAAGTACAGATCAAGAAATATCATATAGCTTTTTCTACACACAAAAAAACGGAAATAGAAACTAAATAAAATAATATATTTTTTAGTTTTGGGTACATAATGATTTTTTGAATAAGTGGATAAATACAATTTGTCTATATTGCTTATTTAATTAAAATTTAAATTAGAAAAAGAAAAGAACATATTATATAAAATTGTTAATCAAATATTTTTTATCTAATGATTAATTTTTATAAAAATGTACAAAGTAAATAATCTTTTTCTTATTTTATAGAAAGAAAAGTATAGCCACCAACTAATACCTTTTTTGGCTGACAAAGAGAAATACTTCATTTTGTCTGGATAAATTTGATGAGTAAAAATTATACAAATGTGAACAGGTGGTATAAAAATGTGCAATTCATAATAAATTTGAAAATGTCCAAAAAGGCTGTAAGTTTATATAAAAAGAAAAAATTTATATGTATATAATGTATTAAAAACAAATAAAGGATTGTGAGAAGAAATAAGGGTCTTATTGGGAACATAATCAATTATAGATTAAGTGTAATAATTATTCCTATGTATCGTTGGCTACTAGTTGAAGTTAGATAATGCCTCAAATATTTTCTCTAAATTAAACATTGCACAGTGGAATAGGATATGCATTGATTACAATAATAACCTGTTGGTTATAGCTATTGCTATTTCATTAATTTGTTTTAAATGATTAAGTTTTATTTTTTGGTTAAAGTTAGATGTCTTGGCCACTTAGTCTAACAAATCTTAATTTTTTCGAGTCTAGAAAATTATATTAACCAGTAGGATTGGTGTCTGTAGTAGTTTAAAGTGCTACTAATATCTCTGGATATTAGTACTCCATTTTTTTTAATGGACTTCTTTTATCAATAGAAATAACATTAAACTTAAATTTCACTGAGGAAGAGAGGGAAAAAACCATTAATTCCGCAGTTTCATTAAAAAATTTAATAACTCTATAAAATTTAATAGCTATAAAATACATATAAATGAACTAGTTTCTTTAGTAATTACGCTTGTTTTTCACATTTAATAACCAATCAAAAACCAAATGTACCAAATCAGGATGTTTACAACTGTTATTCACTTGCTAACCATATTTCTTTAGTTCAAAATTTCATTTAATTGGTTTCAAAATATTTTGCACATCCAGATGAATGACAGTTATATTTAAGTAGCACTTGCCTGAAGAAGACATTTTTCTAACAATATAAAAACACTCTGAAAACTAGACAAAAAGCTATAAAAAACTAATAAAAAAATTATATTTTTTCTTTGCAGTTATCTAATCATCAATAACACAATATAAATAATCATTCCATGTTGTGATATTTATCATTTTGACTAGTTGCACCAAAATATATTTTAGTAGTTAAATGTTTCATTAAAACAAAAAAAAATTATTTTAAAAAATGTAATTATGATCAGACCAAACATTCAATGTTTTCCAGTGTCATTAGTTTTTAATTGATGTTATTTGTCATTATAGACATGAGGACTTCAAAATGGTACTATACATTGCAAATGTTGTAAATATAATATTGATTAGATTTTTTAGCCTTAAGATTAACAAATTTAGACTTAAAGAAAGTGAAACCATCTTACATCTAAATAACTGAAATATAACTTAATATGTTGAAGTCTAAGAAGAAATAAGCCATACAAATTTAGATTTCAATAGTTAATTAGACATTGGGATAATTTTAAATAATTTAAATGGTGCATTACTAATTCATTGATTTCCTGACTTAATAAAAGTTCATTCCTGATAGCCTCAAATGTCAAGGAGTTATAACCAGGTAAATGCCACCCTCCCATGGTCGTAAGCCAAATATTTAACCAAACATATTTATAAATTCAATGACATAATTTGTAATAAAATCATTATTGTAATGCTTAAAGTTATTATAAAATTCTGAAATGATTTTCATTCTTTTTTTTATTAAATTTCATTAAATTAAATTTCATTAAATTTATGAAATTTTATTCATTTCAGTTTTTTTAAATTAAAAAAAACTTCAATAAAAAGAAACAAAAAACAAGAGCATATAATCTTTTTTATTGAAGGAAGCTGGTCGACTGTTCTACATATCATGGGTGATAAATAGTCAGGACGCAGTTATTATAACTTTTTTTTTAATTATGCCAACGATTCAACCCAAACATGTGGGTCATCTTCAGGGCTGAAAATTTTAAAATACAATCAGAGATATAATATTATACAACCGATAATGGTAAATAATAAACTATAGTGATTGATGGTACATGAATCTTAACTATTACTACAATACATAATATTAGAATTGAAATATGTAAAGAGTTATACAAACTAAAAATGATATATATATATAATATAGAATGAAGAGAAGAATAGTTGGGGTGGTCCATCAAAAAGGAAAGCAAAAATAAATGATAATATTTATTTTTACATATGTCGACGTTTCGACCTGAAGTTCAGGCCATCATCAGGGCTAAGAAAAGAGCCAGATAACAAGGTATGAGAAATATAAAAATTACAGTAAAATGAAGTAGTTCGAATAATGACAATAGTAAGAACAAGAGACAAATAATAATAACATTTTCTATCTAAATATTCTATTCACTATATCTTAATTTTACTATTTATTTCCATTTCTTATATAACTTTATATTTTTCTGTTTTACATTTTATTCTAAGATTCCCTTTACAATACTTATGTCACCCTTTTTGACTATGTTTACTTCATCATTCCACACTTTTTACCTGTTATTCTTCTATATAAGAAGAATTGCAGTTAGGGCTAGATAGAGCATGTGATATGGTAAACTATATTTGATTGTTGTAGGAGTGGAACAGGATCAATGAGTTTGGTGTATAGATTTCTTAATTTACTGTTATTTTTGAAGACTATTTGTAGATGGGGGAATTTTGTAGTTTAAGGTTTTTTGAGATAGGAATGGGATGTATGGAATGGATCTATATTGGCGAATCGTGGAGGAAAATTGAGAGCAGTTTGTGGGAGATTGGTGAAGATGAGATTTGGATAGATTTTTTTTTTTTTTTTATTTCTTTATGGCATTTACAACTGTATTACATAAATACATCAAGTAAATTTGGACATAATTGATATAATGACATGAATACACTTGCTGAGTAACTACCCAATGGTAGCACTCTAATGGATAGATTTTTAATTAGGTTTTTCATAATGTGGTCTGGAAAGGCATTGGATTTCAGGATATTGTGAAGTTTGGTAAGGTTATTATTGTCATGGAATTGCAGGTCACTTAATGTTAGACTGCTGTGTATCAGGTTTTTAGCTACACTGATTTTTTGGTGGTAAGAGTGTTGGAAAAAATAGTATAGGAAATGGCCGGAGTAGGTACGTTTGGTGTACCAATTGGTGGATAAGGTATTATCATTATTTCTGGAAATGAGGAGATCAAGAAATGGGAGGGAAATCTTTTATTCTATTTCAATGATAAAATGGAGTCGAGGGTTGTATGAGTTGAATGCAGAAAGTATATCATGGAAGTTGAGGATTAACAAAAGCTCATCAACATATTTTTTAATGAAAAAAATATTGTGAAATTTGGGTAGTATAGAATCATTTAGGTTGTTTAGGACAATACAGGAGAGGTATGGTGCAAGGCAATTAACCATCCCCAAGCCCGCAGTTTGATAAAAAAATTTGTTTTGAACACATAGGTAAATGGAGTTATATCTCTAATTGTATATTAAAATTTTCAGTCTTGAAGATGACCCCATGTTGGGGTTCAAACATTGGCAGATAAAAAAAAAATTTGTAATGACTGCGTCCTGACTATTTATTACCCATGATGATAATCATAGATAATTTCTCAATTGTAGACTTATTCCTAAATTATTGCAGTTATTTTAGCAATACTTCCATTAAGAAGCAAACAAATAAAATATAAATTATACCGCAAAGAGATCTAACTGAAGATAAGTGACTTAAGCACCAGCGCACTTACCCAATTCATGGCTGGGAATAATTTCGTGAGTATGTATTTATGGACGGGAGAGCGCGAACGCAGTCCCGACTAACAAAAATTACGCGCCCGAGATACCCACATTTGGGGTATTCGCAGGGGTCAGCCCGACCGAAGTGCAATGGAAGAGCCTCACCCTGGGGGAACCGCCTTCATGATCACGGTAACCCCCACGCCAGGTAAGTATGCTCAATTCCGGGATCATGGACTACTTGTCAATTCAGCGCCGACAGGCACTATGGGAACCGATCAACAGTTGTGAAGATTATTCATAGCGGAGTCTATGATGATATACCTCAACTCATCCATGCTCCTCATCCTCCCGGCCTACATTTTTTCAATAGCTCGCATCGCCCCCCAGAACAATTCCAACTTTCTAATTAAGACGATTATCGTAGGCGAAGAAGTCAGCCTGTAGTCCGGTTTTCACCCTCCCTTGATAGGTGCCGCTAGCGTTCCCGGTGAGCTCTTCCCGGGCAACATGATACCCTTTAACAATACCCACTTCCACCTCCATCAGTGTAATATTGAGCTTTCTTAAACAGTTGGATATTATTGTAAATGTTTCCGATCGATGAGAGTTTTCGTATCAAATCTCATCCCAGAAAAGTAAGATAAAAAATCGTTCAAAAATGTAGGCTTCGATGGAGAATAGATTATCTGTCATGAAGGGAATAGCGAGCGATGTCAACAATTTCAACGTTTCCGCGGTTCCATTTTTCATTCATTTTTACCATAGTCGAAGATTATATTTTAGCGATGGTTTGAGATGGAAAAGGAAAAAAAAGTGTTTTTTGTCCCTCTACTAAATATATGGGTGAATAAAATGTATATAAAAGAGAAAAGTCAATCCACACCTCGAGGCTTGAAGATTTTCCTTTTTAAAGTTATTAAAGCTCAACTAAGTTACTTTTTATATAATCACAAAGGTGTTATGCTAATTTTGTGCATTACTGATTTTTTGCTGACTAAGCTGAAAATATATTTGAATTTTTTTATATCTTTTTTCGAGGAATTATTTTTTTATAAATGTAGAGGCTGATTTAAAGGATATTAGGCCACTATTTTGAGTTTGAGGATGGAAACGGAAAATCCATTGCGAAAAATGTAAGAAAAGTTTTTATTTTTTTAACTTGTATATTAGAGTTTAGGAATGTAAAGAGCAAAACAGCTAACGCGGGCCACCTAGGGAGAACTCCTTACAGGCAAAAAAGTCAGATTTTTTGGATATATTTGTGTTTTTTCACCTATTGCTCCTAAAAGATGCATCAAAGCGAAAAAAGGAACGCATCAATAAATTGAAGAACGTTAAATTGTGCGTCGAACGAGTACACGAATCTCGTAATTAGGCTAGGTGGTAAGCTATAAAACCAGGATCAACCTACACTGATTTTTACCAAATATTTCAAAAACTGAGACAAATCACTATAAAAAATGCCTTCCAACTTCGAAATGAGTTCCTTAAGAGGAAAACCTTATAGAATCCAAGCATTAGAGCATCAAATTTTGTGTCCAGTTAGTAAAAACTAATTTTATGTAGGTCACTTACTCCGAACAAAGTCGGTTATCTCCCGATGGTTAGAAATCGGTAGTGAAGAAGGTAAACGTGATTTCCAATATTTGAACAGCACGGGTGTCTATTCTACTGAATTATTTTTGTTTAGAGTCTGTCACATGCAGTATAAAAAAAAACTCTTTTTCCACTTCTCAGCAGCGAAGGATTGTGATAAACGGTGTGTCGAAAGATACCGAATTTCATAAAGGAAAAACTCGGCGCAAGGACTTAAATTTTATGGGTTTTTCCTCTTAGGTAACTCATTTATAGTAATTTGTCTCGGTTTGGGACAAAGTTGGTAAAGATAAGCGTTAGTTGTTCGCGGTTTAATAAAAAAAAAAAAAAAAAATCAAAAGCTTAACTGAGGTTTCAGGATACGTAGAAGTCGAAAAAGGGATAAAAAAAATAAAATAAAATTCCGTCGTCCGGGAATTTTCTCCGAAACTAGTAGACCATTTTTTTTTTTTTTTTTTCGAATTCGGACTTAAGGATTAGAGGTCCCCCGAGGACGATCCTCCTCCTTCATCTACGTTTCTATCCGCCCTTTTCCTTTCAAGATTGCGACCGAAAAACCTTCGTCGCTATTGGCTGTAGCGCCTAAACGAATGTACCGATTTCAATGAAACTTCCCCAAAGTCTTCTTTCCGATTCCCTTCAAATTTATCTATATGACATGCTTCAACGAAAAGAAGCTAGAAAAAAAGTTACGAGGGATGGTAAAATTAGATTCCGAATAACTCAAAAAGTATACAGTTTTTGCGAGACAAGGTTGTTGAACTCTGATTACGGATTTTATGTACTGTAAGTTATATTAAAAATAAATACAGATAGAATGCGGAAATCGATCAAGTCGGAGAATTAATTTCGTTTCCTAATGTGGGATTCGGCAAAAGAATTACAAATCCGCGGGGGTCATTTCATTCTAAATTGATGACTTATGAAAAATTTAAAAGAAAAGTTTGACTATAGAGTGAGTCCTAGAAAACTGCTTGTTATCCTATGAAGAAGTAAGCGCTGATAAGGGAGAGAACTCGATTCGCTCGCGACGCCTCTCGAGTTGGGCGACGAAACGCGGCGGACACGAGTTGGGCGGAGAGACGCGGCGGACACGATTACCAGCGCCTCCATCCATCTCATGGCTGGGATTAATTTCGTGAGTAAGTATTTATGGACGGGAAAGCGCGAACGCAGTCCCGACTAACAAAAATTACGCGCCCGAGATACCCACATTTGGGGTATTCGCAGGGGTCAGCCCGACCGAAGTGCAATGGAAGAGCCTCACCCTGGGGGAACCGCCTTCATGATCACGGTAACCCCCACGCCAGGTAAGTATGCTCAATTCCGGGATCATGGACTACTTGTCAATTCAGCGCCGACAGGCACTATGGGAACCGATCAACAGTTGTGAAGATTATTCATAGCGGAGTCTATGATGATATACCTCAACTCATCCATGCTCCTCATCCTCCCGGCCTACATTTTTTCAATAGCTCGCATCGCCCCCAGAACAATTCCAACTTTCTAATTAAGACGATTATCGTAGGCGAAGAAGTCAGCCTGTAGTCCGGTTTTCACCCTCCCTTGATAGGTGCCGCTAGCGTTCCCGGTGAGCTCTTCCCGGGCAACATGATACCCTTTAACAATACCCACTTCCACCTCCATCAGTGTAATATTGAGCTTTCTTAAACAGTTGGATATTATTGTAAATGTTTCCGATCGATGAGAGTTTTCGTATCAAATCTCATCCCAGAAAAGTAAGATAAAAAATCGTTCAAAAATGTAGGCTTCGATGGAGAATAGATTATCTGTCATGAAGGGAATAGCGAGCGATGTCAACAATTTCAACGTTTCCGCGGTTCCATTTTTCATTCATTTTTACCATAGTCGAAGATTATATTTTAGCGATGGTTTGAGATGGAAAAGGAAAAAAAAGTGTTTTTTGTCCCTCTACTAAATATATGGGTGAATAAAATGTATATAAAAGAGAAAAGTCAATCCACACCTCGAGGCTTGAAGATTTTCCTTTTTAAAGTTATTAAAGCTCAACTAAGTTACTTTTTATATAATCACAAAGGTGTTATGCTAATTTTGTGCATTACTGATTTTTTGCTGACTAAGCTGAAAATATATTTGAATTTTTTTATATCTTTTTTCGAGGAATTATTTTTTTATAAATGTAGAGGCTGATTTAAAGGATATTAGGCCACTATTTTGAGTTTGAGGATGGAAACGGAAAATCCATTGCGAAAAATGTAAGAAAAGTTTTTATTTTTTTAACTTGTATATTAGAGTTTAGGAATGTAAAGAGCAAAACAGCTAACGCGGGCCACCTAGGGAGAACTCCTTACAGGCAAAAAAGTCAGATTTTTTGGATATATTTGTGTTTTTTCACCTATTGCTCCTAAAAGATGCATCAAAGCGAAAAAAGGAACGCATCAATAAATTGAAGAACGTTAAATTGTGCGTCGAACGAGTACACGAATCTCGTAATTAGGCTAGGTGGTAAGCTATAAAACCAGGATCAACCTACACTGATTTTTACCAAATATTTCAAAAACTGAGACAAATCACTATAAAAAATGCCTTCCAACTTCGAAATGAGTTCCTTAAGAGGAAAACCTTATAGAATCCAAGCATTAGAGCATCAAATTTTGTGTCCAGTTAGTAAAAACTAATTTTATGTAGGTCACTTACTCCGAACAAAGTCGGTTATCTCCCGATGGTTAGAAATCGGTAGTGAAGAAGGTAAACGTGATTTCCAATATTTGAACAGCACGGGTGTCTATTCTACTGAATTATTTTTGTTTAGAGTCTGTCACATGCAGTATAAAAAAAAACTCTTTTTCCACTTCTCAGCAGCGAAGGATTGTGATAAACGGTGTGTCGAAAGATACCGAATTTCATAAAGGAAAAACTCGGCGCAAGGACTTAAATTTTATGGGTTTTTCCTCTTAGGTAACTCATTTATAGTAATTTGTCTCGGTTTGGGACAAAGTTGGTAAAGATAAGCGTTAGTTGTTCGCGGTTTAATAAAAAAAAAAAAAAAAAATCAAAAGCTTAACTGAGGTTTCAGGATACGTAGAAGTCGAAAAAGGGATAAAAAAAATAAAATAAAATTCCGTCGTCCGGGAATTTTCTCCGAAACTAGTAGACCATTTTTTTTTTTTTTTTTTCGAATTCGGACTTAAGGATTAGAGGTCCCCCGAGGACGATCCTCCTCCTTCATCTACGTTTCTATCCGCCCTTTTCCTTTCAAGATTGCGACCGAAAAACCTTCGTCGCTATTGGCTGTAGCGCCTAAACGAATGTACCGATTTCAATGAAACTTCCCCAAAGTCTTCTTTCCGATTCCCTTCAAATTTATCTATATGACATGCTTCAACGAAAAGAAGCTAGAAAAAAAGTTACGAGGGATGGTAAAATTAGATTCCGAATAACTCAAAAAGTATACAGTTTTTGCGAGACAAGGTTGTTGAACTCTGATTACGGATTTTATGTACTGTAAGTTATATTAAAAATAAATACAGATAGAATGCGGAAATCGATCAAGTCGGAGAATTAATTTCGTTTCCTAATGTGGGATTCGGCAAAAGAATTACAAATCCGCGGGGGTCATTTCATTCTAAATTGATGACTTATGAAAAATTTAAAAGAAAAGTTTGACTATAGAGTGAGTCCTAGAAAACTGCTTGTTATCCTATGAAGAAGTAAGCGCTGATAAGGGAGAGAACTCGATTCGCTCGCGACGCCTCTCGAGTTGGGCGACGAAACGCGGCGGACACGAGTTGGGCGGAGAGACGCGGCGGACACGATTACCAGCGCCTCCATCCATCTCATGGCTGGGATTAATTTCGTGAGTAAGTATTTATGGACGGGAAAGCGCGAACGCAGTCCCGACTAACAAAAATTACGCGCCCGAGATACCCACATTTGGGGTATTCGCAGGGGTCAGCCCGACCGAAGTGCAATGGAAGAGCCTCACCCTGGGGGAACCGCCTTCATGATCACGGTAACCCCCACGCCAGGTAAGTATGCTCAATTCCGGGATCATGGACTACTTGTCAATTCAGCGCCGACAGGCACTATGGGAACCGATCAACAGTTGTGAAGATTATTCATAGCGGAGTCTATGATGATATACCTCAACTCATCCATGCTCCTCATCCTCCCGGCCTACATTTTTTCAATAGCTCGCATCGCCCCCCAGAACAATTCCAACTTTCTAATTAAGACGATTATCGTAGGCGAAGAAGTCAGCCTGTAGTCCGGTTTTCACCCTCCCTTGATAGGTGCCGCTAGCGTTCCCGGTGAGCTCTTCCCGGGCAACATGATACCCTTTAACAATACCCACTTCCACCTCCATCAGTGTAATATTGAGCTTTCTTAAACAGTTGGATATTATTGTAAATGTTTCCGATCGATGAGAGTTTTCGTATCAAATCTCATCCCAGAAAAGTAAGATAAAAAATCGTTCAAAAATGTAGGCTTCGATGGAGAATAGATTATCTGTCATGAAGGGAATAGCGAGCGATGTCAACAATTTCAACGTTTCCGCGGTTCCATTTTTCATTCATTTTTACCATAGTCGAAGATTATATTTTAGCGATGGTTTGAGATGGAAAAGGAAAAAAAAGTGTTTTTTGTCCCTCTACTAAATATATGGGTGAATAAAATGTATATAAAAGAGAAAAGTCAATCCACACCTCGAGGCTTGAAGATTTTCCTTTTTAAAGTTATTAAAGCTCAACTAAGTTACTTTTTATATAATCACAAAGGTGTTATGCTAATTTTGTGCATTACTGATTTTTTGCTGACTAAGCTGAAAATATATTTGAATTTTTTTATATCTTTTTTCGAGGAATTATTTTTTTATAAATGTAGAGGCTGATTTAAAGGATATTAGGCCACTATTTTGAGTTTGAGGATGGAAACGGAAAATCCATTGCGAAAAATGTAAGAAAAGTTTTTATTTTTTTAACTTGTATATTAGAGTTTAGGAATGTAAAGAGCAAAACAGCTAACGCGGGCCACCTAGGGAGAACTCCTTACAGGCAAAAAAGTCAGATTTTTTGGATATATTTGTGTTTTTTCACCTATTGCTCCTAAAAGATGCATCAAAGCGAAAAAAGGAACGCATCAATAAATTGAAGAACGTTAAATTGTGCGTCGAACGAGTACACGAATCTCGTAATTAGGCTAGGTGGTAAGCTATAAAACCAGGATCAACCTACACTGATTTTTACCAAATATTTCAAAAACTGAGACAAATCACTATAAAAAATGCCTTCCAACTTCGAAATGAGTTCCTTAAGAGGAAAACCTTATAGAATCCAAGCATTAGAGCATCAAATTTTGTGTCCAGTTAGTAAAAACTAATTTTATGTAGGTCACTTACTCCGAACAAAGTCGGTTATCTCCCGATGGTTAGAAATCGGTAGTGAAGAAGGTAAACGTGATTTCCAATATTTGAACAGCACGGGTGTCTATTCTACTGAATTATTTTTGTTTAGAGTCTGTCACATGCAGTATAAAAAAAAACTCTTTTTCCACTTCTCAGCAGCGAAGGATTGTGATAAACGGTGTGTCGAAAGATACCGAATTTCATAAAGGAAAAACTCGGCGCAAGGACTTAAATTTTATGGGTTTTTCCTCTTAGGTAACTCATTTATAGTAATTTGTCTCGGTTTGGGACAAAGTTGGTAAAGATAAGCGTTAGTTGTTCGCGGTTTAATAAAAAAAAAAAAAAAAAATCAAAAGCTTAACTGAGGTTTCAGGATACGTAGAAGTCGAAAAAGGGATAAAAAAAATAAAATAAAATTCCGTCGTCCGGGAATTTTCTCCGAAACTAGTAGACCATTTTTTTTTTTTTTTTTTCGAATTCGGACTTAAGGATTAGAGGTCCCCCGAGGACGATCCTCCTCCTTCATCTACGTTTCTATCCGCCCTTTTCCTTTCAAGATTGCGACCGAAAAACCTTCGTCGCTATTGGCTGTAGCGCCTAAACGAATGTACCGATTTCAATGAAACTTCCCCAAAGTCTTCTTTCCGATTCCCTTCAAATTTATCTATATGACATGCTTCAACGAAAAGAAGCTAGAAAAAAAGTTACGAGGGATGGTAAAATTAGATTCCGAATAACTCAAAAAGTATACAGTTTTTGCGAGACAAGGTTGTTGAACTCTGATTACGGATTGTATGTACTGTAAGTTATATTAAAAATAAATACAGATAGAATGCGGAAATCGATCAAGTCGGAGAATTAATTTCGTTTCCTAATGTGGGATTCGGCAAAAGAATTACAAATCCGCGGGGGTCATTTCATTCTAAATTGATGACTTATGAAAAATTTAAAAGAAAAGTTTGACTATAGAGTGAGTCCTAGAAAACTGCTTGTTATCCTATGAAGAAGTAAGCGCTGATAAGGGAGAGAACTCGATTCGCTCGCGACGCCTCTCGAGTTGGGCGACGAAACGCGGCGGACACGAGTTGGGCGGAGAGACGCGGCGGACACGATTACCAGCGCCTCCATCCATCTCATGGCTGGGATTAATTTCGTGAGTAAGTATTTATGGACGGGAAAGCGCGAACGCAGTCCCGACTAACAAAAATTACGCGCCCGAGATACCCACATTTGGGGTATTCGCAGGGGTCAGCCCGACCGAAGTGCAATGGAAGAGCCTCACCCTGGGGGAACCGCCTTCATGATCACGGTAACCCCCACGCCAGGTAAGTATGCTCAATTCCGGGATCATGGACTACTTGTCAATTCAGCGCCGACAGGCACTATGGGAACCGATCAACAGTTGTGAAGATTATTCATAGCGGAGTCTATGATGATATACCTCAACTCATCCATGCTCCTCATCCTCCCGGCCTACATTTTTTCAATAGCTCGCATCGCCCCCCAGAACAATTCCAACTTTCTAATTAAGACGATTATCGTAGGCGAAGAAGTCAGCCTGTAGTCCGGTTTTCACCCTCCCTTGATAGGTGCCGCTAGCGTTCCCGGTGAGCTCTTCCCGGGCAACATGATACCCTTTAACAATACCCACTTCCACCTCCATCAGTGTAATATTGAGCTTTCTTAAACAGTTGGATATTATTGTAAATGTTTCCGATCGATGAGAGTTTTCGTATCAAATCTCATCCCAGAAAAGTAAGATAAAAAATCGTTCAAAAATGTAGGCTTCGATGGAGAATAGATTATCTGTCATGAAGGGAATAGCGAGCGATGTCAACAATTTCAACGTTTCCGCGGTTCCATTTTTCATTCATTTTTACCATAGTCGAAGATTATATTTTAGCGATGGTTTGAGATGGAAAAGGAAAAAAAAGTGTTTTTTGTCCCTCTACTAAATATATGGGTGAATAAAATGTATATAAAAGAGAAAAGTCAATCCACACCTCGAGGCTTGAAGATTTTCCTTTTTAAAGTTATTAAAGCTCAACTAAGTTACTTTTTATATAATCACAAAGGTGTTATGCTAATTTTGTGCATTACTGATTTTTTGCTGACTAAGCTGAAAATATATTTGAATTTTTTTATATCTTTTTTCGAGGAATTATTTTTTTATAAATGTAGAGGCTGATTTAAAGGATATTAGGCCACTATTTTGAGTTTGAGGATGGAAACGGAAAATCCATTGCGAAAAATGTAAGAAAAGTTTTTATTTTTTTAACTTGTATATTAGAGTTTAGGAATGTAAAGAGCAAAACAGCTAACGCGGGCCACCTAGGGAGAACTCCTTACAGGCAAAAAAGTCAGATTTTTTGGATATATTTGTGTTTTTTCACCTATTGCTCCTAAAAGATGCATCAAAGCGAAAAAAGGAACGCATCAATAAATTGAAGAACGTTAAATTGTGCGTCGAACGAGTACACGAATCTCGTAATTAGGCTAGGTGGTAAGCTATAAAACCAGGATCAACCTACACTGATTTTTACCAAATATTTCAAAAACTGAGACAAATCACTATAAAAAATGCCTTCCAACTTCGAAATGAGTTCCTTAAGAGGAAAACCTTATAGAATCCAAGCATTAGAGCATCAAATTTTGTGTCCAGTTAGTAAAAACTAATTTTATGTAGGTCACTTACTCCGAACAAAGTCGGTTATCTCCCGATGGTTAGAAATCGGTAGTGAAGAAGGTAAACGTGATTTCCAATATTTGAACAGCACGGGTGTCTATTCTACTGAATTATTTTTGTTTAGAGTCTGTCACATGCAGTATAAAAAAAAACTCTTTTTCCACTTCTCAGCAGCGAAGGATTGTGATAAACGGTGTGTCGAAAGATACCGAATTTCATAAAGGAAAAACTCGGCGCAAGGACTTAAATTTTATGGGTTTTTCCTCTTAGGTAACTCATTTATAGTAATTTGTCTCGGTTTGGGACAAAGTTGGTAAAGATAAGCGTTAGTTGTTCGCGGTTTAATAAAAAAAAAAAAAAAAATCAAAAGCTTAACTGAGGTTTCAGGATACGTAGAAGTCGAAAAAGGGATAAAAAAAATAAAATAAAATTCCGTCGTCCGGGAATTTTCTCCGAAACTAGTAGACCATTTTTTTTTTTTTTTTTTCGAATTCGGACTTAAGGATTAGAGGTCCCCCGAGGACGATCCTCCTCCTTCATCTACGTTTCTATCCGCCCTTTTCCTTTCAAGATTGCGACCGAAAAACCTTCGTCGCTATTGGCTGTAGCGCCTAAACGAATGTACCGATTTCAATGAAACTTCCCCAAAGTCTTCTTTCCGATTCCCTTCAAATTTATCTATATGACATGCTTCAACGAAAAGAAGCTAGAAAAAAAGTTACGAGGGATGGTAAAATTAGATTCCGAATAACTCAAAAAGTATACAGTTTTTGCGAGACAAGGTTGTTGAACTCTGATTACGGATTGTATGTACTGTAAGTTATATTAAAAATAAATACAGATAGAATGCGGAAATCGATCAAGTCGGAGAATTAATTTCGTTTCCTAATGTGGGATTCGGCAAAAGAATTACAAATCCGCGGGGGTCATTTCATTCTAAATTGATGACTTATGAAAAATTTAAAAGAAAAGTTTGACTATAGAGTGAGTCCTAGAAAACTGCTTGTTATCCTATGAAGAAGTAAGCGCTGATAAGGGAGAGAACTCGATTCGCTCGCGACGCCTCTCGAGTTGGGCGACGAAACGCGGCGGACACGAGTTGGGCGGAGAGACGCGGCGGACACGATTACCAGCGCCTCCATCCATCTCATGGCTGGGATTAATTTCGTGAGTAAGTATTTATGGACGGGAAAGCGCGAACGCAGTCCCGACTAACAAAAATTACGCGCCCGAGATACCCACATTTGGGGTATTCGCAGGGGTCAGCCCGACCGAAGTGCAATGGAAGAGCCTCACCCTGGGGGAACCGCCTTCATGATCACGGTAACCCCCACGCCAGGTAAGTATGCTCAATTCCGGGATCATGGACTACTTGTCAATTCAGCGCCGACAGGCACTATGGGAACCGATCAACAGTTGTGAAGATTATTCATAGCGGAGTCTATGATGATATACCTCAACTCATCCATGCTCCTCATCCTCCCGGCCTACATTTTTTCAATAGCTCGCATCGCCCCCCAGAACAATTCCAACTTTCTAATTAAGACGATTATCGTAGGCGAAGAAGTCAGCCTGTAGTCCGGTTTTCACCCTCCCTTGATAGGTGCCGCTAGCGTTCCCGGTGAGCTCTTCCCGGGCAACATGATACCCTTTAACAATACCCACTTCCACCTCCATCAGTGTAATATTGAGCTTTCTTAAACAGTTGGATATTATTGTAAATGTTTCCGATCGATGAGAGTTTTCGTATCAAATCTCATCCCAGAAAAGTAAGATAAAAAATCGTTCAAAAATGTAGGCTTCGATGGAGAATAGATTATCTGTCATGAAGGGAATAGCGAGCGATGTCAACAATTTCAACGTTTCCGCGGTTCCATTTTTCATTCATTTTTACCATAGTCGAAGATTATATTTTAGCGATGGTTTGAGATGGAAAAGGAAAAAAAAGTGTTTTTTGTCCCTCTACTAAATATATGGGTGAATAAAATGTATATAAAAGAGAAAAGTCAATCCACACCTCGAGGCTTGAAGATTTTCCTTTTTAAAGTTATTAAAGCTCAACTAAGTTACTTTTTATATAATCACAAAGGTGTTATGCTAATTTTGTGCATTACTGATTTTTTGCTGACTAAGCTGAAAATATATTTGAATTTTTTTATATCTTTTTTCGAGGAATTATTTTTTTATAAATGTAGAGGCTGATTTAAAGGATATTAGGCCACTATTTTGAGTTTGAGGATGGAAACGGAAAATCCATTGCGAAAAATGTAAGAAAAGTTTTTATTTTTTTAACTTGTATATTAGAGTTTAGGAATGTAAAGAGCAAAACAGCTAACGCGGGCCACCTAGGGAGAACTCCTTACAGGCAAAAAAGTCAGATTTTTTGGATATATTTGTGTTTTTTCACCTATTGCTCCTAAAAGATGCATCAAAGCGAAAAAAGGAACGCATCAATAAATTGAAGAACGTTAAATTGTGCGTCGAACGAGTACACGAATCTCGTAATTAGGCTAGGTGGTAAGCTATAAAACCAGGATCAACCTACACTGATTTTTACCAAATATTTCAAAAACTGAGACAAATCACTATAAAAAATGCCTTCCAACTTCGAAATGAGTTCCTTAAGAGGAAAACCTTATAGAATCCAAGCATTAGAGCATCAAATTTTGTGTCCAGTTAGTAAAAACTAATTTTATGTAGGTCACTTACTCCGAACAAAGTCGGTTATCTCCCGATGGTTAGAAATCGGTAGTGAAGAAGGTAAACGTGATTTCCAATATTTGAACAGCACGGGTGTCTATTCTACTGAATTATTTTTGTTTAGAGTCTGTCACATGCAGTATAAAAAAAAACTCTTTTTCCACTTCTCAGCAGCGAAGGATTGTGATAAACGGTGTGTCGAAAGATACCGAATTTCATAAAGGAAAAACTCGGCGCAAGGACTTAAATTTTATGGGTTTTTCCTCTTAGGTAACTCATTTATAGTAATTTGTCTCGGTTTGGGACAAAGTTGGTAAAGATAAGCGTTAGTTGTTCGCGGTTTAATAAAAAAAAAAAAAAAAAATCAAAAGCTTAACTGAGGTTTCAGGATACGTAGAAGTCGAAAAAGGGATAAAAAAAATAAAATAAAATTCCGTCGTCCGGGAATTTTCTCCGAAACTAGTAGACCATTTTTTTTTTTTTTTTTTCGAATTCGGACTTAAGGATTAGAGGTCCCCCGAGGACGATCCTCCTCCTTCATCTACGTTTCTATCCGCCCTTTTCCTTTCAAGATTGCGACCGAAAAACCTTCGTCGCTATTGGCTGTAGCGCCTAAACGAATGTACCGATTTCAATGAAACTTCCCCAAAGTCTTCTTTCCGATTCCCTTCAAATTTATCTATATGACATGCTTCAACGAAAAGAAGCTAGAAAAAAAGTTACGAGGGATGGTAAAATTAGATTCCGAATAACTCAAAAAGTATACAGTTTTTGCGAGACAAGGTTGTTGAACTCTGATTACGGATTTTATGTACTGTAAGTTATATTAAAAATAAATACAGATAGAATGCGGAAATCGATCAAGTCGGAGAATTAATTTCGTTTCCTAATGTGGGATTCGGCAAAAGAATTACAAATCCGCGGGGGTCATTTCATTCTAAATTGATGACTTATGAAAAATTTAAAAGAAAAGTTTGACTATAGAGTGAGTCCTAGAAAACTGCTTGTTATCCTATGAAGAAGTAAGCGCTGATAAGGGAGAGAACTCGATTCGCTCGCGACGCCTCTCGAGTTGGGCGACGAAACGCGGCGGACACGAGTTGGGCGGAGAGACGCGGCGGACACGATTACCAGCGCCTCCATCCATCTCATGGCTGGGATTAATTTCGTGAGTAAGTATTTATGGACGGGAAAGCGCGAACGCAGTCCCGACTAACAAAAATTACGCGCCCGAGATACCCACATTTGGGGTATTCGCAGGGGTCAGCCCGACCGAAGTGCAATGGAAGAGCCTCACCCTGGGGGAACCGCCTTCATGATCACGGTAACCCCCACGCCAGGTAAGTATGCTCAATTCCGGGATCATGGACTACTTGTCAATTCAGCGCCGACAGGCACTATGGGAACCGATCAACAGTTGTGAAGATTATTCATAGCGGAGTCTATGATGATATACCTCAACTCATCCATGCTCCTCATCCTCCCGGCCTACATTTTTTCAATAGCTCGCATCGCCCCCCAGAACAATTCCAACTTTCTAATTAAGACGATTATCGTAGGCGAAGAAGTCAGCCTGTAGTCCGGTTTTCACCCTCCCTTGATAGGTGCCGCTAGCGTTCCCGGTGAGCTCTTCCCGGGCAACATGATACCCTTTAACAATACCCACTTCCACCTCCATCAGTGTAATATTGAGCTTTCTTAAACAGTTGGATATTATTGTAAATGTTTCCGATCGATGAGAGTTTTCGTATCAAATCTCATCCCAGAAAAGTAAGATAAAAAATCGTTCAAAAATGTAGGCTTCGATGGAGAATAGATTATCTGTCATGAAGGGAATAGCGAGCGATGTCAACAATTTCAACGTTTCCGCGGTTCCATTTTTCATTCATTTTTACCATAGTCGAAGATTATATTTTAGCGATGGTTTGAGATGGAAAAGGAAAAAAAAGTGTTTTTTGTCCCTCTACTAAATATATGGGTGAATAAAATGTATATAAAAGAGAAAAGTCAATCCACACCTCGAGGCTTGAAGATTTTCCTTTTTAAAGTTATTAAAGCTCAACTAAGTTACTTTTTATATAATCACAAAGGTGTTATGCTAATTTTGTGCATTACTGATTTTTTGCTGACTAAGCTGAAAATATATTTGAATTTTTTTATATCTTTTTTCGAGGAATTATTTTTTTATAAATGTAGAGGCTGATTTAAAGGATATTAGGCCACTATTTTGAGTTTGAGGATGGAAACGGAAAATCCATTGCGAAAAATGTAAGAAAAGTTTTTATTTTTTTAACTTGTATATTAGAGTTTAGGAATGTAAAGAGCAAAACAGCTAACGCGGGCCACCTAGGGAGAACTCCTTACAGGCAAAAAAGTCAGATTTTTTGGATATATTTGTGTTTTTTCACCTATTGCTCCTAAAAGATGCATCAAAGCGAAAAAAGGAACGCATCAATAAATTGAAGAACGTTAAATTGTGCGTCGAACGAGTACACGAATCTCGTAATTAGGCTAGGTGGTAAGCTATAAAACCAGGATCAACCTACACTGATTTTTACCAAATATTTCAAAAACTGAGACAAATCACTATAAAAAATGCCTTCCAACTTCGAAATGAGTTCCTTAAGAGGAAAACCTTATAGAATCCAAGCATTAGAGCATCAAATTTTGTGTCCAGTTAGTAAAAACTAATTTTATGTAGGTCACTTACTCCGAACAAAGTCGGTTATCTCCCGATGGTTAGAAATCGGTAGTGAAGAAGGTAAACGTGATTTCCAATATTTGAACAGCACGGGTGTCTATTCTACTGAATTATTTTTGTTTAGAGTCTGTCACATGCAGTATAAAAAAAAACTCTTTTTCCACTTCTCAGCAGCGAAGGATTGTGATAAACGGTGTGTCGAAAGATACCGAATTTCATAAAGGAAAAACTCGGCGCAAGGACTTAAATTTTATGGGTTTTTCCTCTTAGGTAACTCATTTATAGTAATTTGTCTCGGTTTGGGACAAAGTTGGTAAAGATAAGCGTTAGTTGTTCGCGGTTTAATAAAAAAAAAAAAAAAAATCAAAAGCTTAACTGAGGTTTCAGGATACGTAGAAGTCGAAAAAGGGATAAAAAAAATAAAATAAAATTCCGTCGTCCGGGAATTTTCTCCGAAACTAGTAGACCATTTTTTTTTTTTTTTTTTCGAATTCGGACTTAAGGATTAGAGGTCCCCCGAGGACGATCCTCCTCCTTCATCTACGTTTCTATCCGCCCTTTTCCTTTCAAGATTGCGACCGAAAAACCTTCGTCGCTATTGGCTGTAGCGCCTAAACGAATGTACCGATTTCAATGAAACTTCCCCAAAGTCTTCTTTCCGATTCCCTTCAAATTTATCTATATGACATGCTTCAACGAAAAGAAGCTAGAAAAAAAGTTACGAGGGATGGTAAAATTAGATTCCGAATAACTCAAAAAGTATACAGTTTTTGCGAGACAAGGTTGTTGAACTCTGATTACGGATTTTATGTACTGTAAGTTATATTAAAAATAAATACAGATAGAATGCGGAAATCGATCAAGTCGGAGAATTAATTTCGTTTCCTAATGTGGGATTCGGCAAAAGAATTACAAATCCGCGGGGGTCATTTCATTCTAAATTGATGACTTATGAAAAATTTAAAAGAAAAGTTTGACTATAGAGTGAGTCCTAGAAAACTGCTTGTTATCCTATGAAGAAGTAAGCGCTGATAAGGGAGAGAACTCGATTCGCTCGCGACGCCTCTCGAGTTGGGCGACGAAACGCGGCGGACACGAGTTGGGCGGAGAGACGCGGCGGACACGATTACCAGCGCCTCCATCCATCTCATGGCTGGGATTAATTTCGTGAGTAAGTATTTATGGACGGGAAAGCGCGAACGCAGTCCCGACTAACAAAAATTACGCGCCCGAGATACCCACATTTGGGGTATTCGCAGGGGTCAGCCCGACCGAAGTGCAATGGAAGAGCCTCACCCTGGGGGAACCGCCTTCATGATCACGGTAACCCCCACGCCAGGTAAGTATGCTCAATTCCGGGATCATGGACTACTTGTCAATTCAGCGCCGACAGGCACTATGGGAACCGATCAACAGTTGTGAAGATTATTCATAGCGGAGTCTATGATGATATACCTCAACTCATCCATGCTCCTCATCCTCCCGGCCTACATTTTTTCAATAGCTCGCATCGCCCCCCTGAACAATTCCAACTTTCTAATTAAGACGATTATCGTAGGCGAAGAAGTCAGCCTGTAGTCCGGTTTTCACCCTCCCTTGATAGGTGCCGCTAGCGTTCCCGGTGAGCTCTTCCCGGGCAACATGATACCCTTTAACAATACCCACTTCCACCTCCATCAGTGTAATATTGAGCTTTCTTAAACAGTTGGATATTATTGTAAATGTTTCCGATCGATGAGAGTTTTCGTATCAAATCTCATCCCAGAAAAGTAAGATAAAAAATCGTTCAAAAATGTAGGCTTCGATGGAGAATAGATTATCTGTCATGAAGGGAATAGCGAGCGATGTCAACAATTTCAACGTTTCCGCGGTTCCATTTTTCATTCATTTTTACCATAGTCGAAGATTATATTTTAGCGATGGTTTGAGATGGAAAAGGAAAAAAAAGTGTTTTTTGTCCCTCTACTAAATATATGGGTGAATAAAATGTATATAAAAGAGAAAAGTCAATCCACACCTCGAGGCTTGAAGATTTTCCTTTTTAAAGTTATTAAAGCTCAACTAAGTTACTTTTTATATAATCACAAAGGTGTTATGCTAATTTTGTGCATTACTGATTTTTTGTTGACTAAGCTGAAAATATATTTGAATTTTTTTATATCTTTTTTCGAGGAATTATTTTTTTATAAATGTAGAGGCTGATTTAAAGGATATTAGGCCACTATTTTGAGTTTGAGGATGGAAACGGAAAATCCATTGCGAAAAATGTAAGAAAAGTTTTTATTTTTTTAACTTGTATATTAGAGTTTAGGAATGTAAAGAGCAAAACAGCTAACGCGGGCCACCTAGGGAGAACTCCTTACAGGCAAAAAAGTCAGATTTTTTGGATATATTTGTGTTTTTTCACCTATTGCTCCTAAAAGATGCATCAAAGCGAAAAAAGGAACGCATCAATAAATTGAAGAACGTTAAATTGTGCGTCGAACGAGTACACGAATCTCGTAATTAGGCTAGGTGGTAAGCTATAAAACCAGGATCAACCTACACTGATTTTTACCAAATATTTCAAAAACTGAGACAAATCACTATAAAAAATGCCTTCCAACTTCGAAATGAGTTCCTTAAGAGGAAAACCTTATAGAATCCAAGCATTAGAGCATCAAATTTTGTGTCCAGTTAGTAAAAACTAATTTTATGTAGGTCACTTACTCCGAACAAAGTCGGTTATCTCCCGATGGTTAGAAATCGGTAGTGAAGAAGGTAAACGTGATTTCCAATATTTGAACAGCACGGGTGTCTATTCTACTGAATTATTTTTGTTTAGAGTCTGTCACATGCAGTATAAAAAAAAACTCTTTTTCCACTTCTCAGCAGCGAAGGATTGTGATAAACGGTGTGTCGAAAGATACCGAATTTCATAAAGGAAAAACTCGGCGCAAGGACTTAAATTTTATGGGTTTTTCCTCTTAGGTAACTCATTTATAGTAATTTGTCTCGGTTTGGGACAAAGTTGGTAAAGATAAGCGTTAGTTGTTCGCGGTTTAATAAAAAAAAAAAAAAAAAATCAAAAGCTTAACTGAGGTTTCAGGATACGTAGAAGTCGAAAAAGGGATAAAAAAAATAAAATAAAATTCATAATTGGTAATTGGTTGACTGTCGTGGATAATGAAGAGAAGAATAGTTGGGGTGCTCAGTCAAAAAAGGAAGGCAAAAATAAATTATAATATTTATTTTTTACATCTGCCGACGTTTCGACCTGAAGTTCAGGCCATCATCAGGGCTAAGAAAATAACCAGATAACAAGATATGAGAAACTTAAGTAATGATGGTAAAAAAGATAATAACAAAAAAAAATGAGAAAATAAAATAGATTAGATCTAGATAAAATAGATCTAGATAAAAGAGACAAAGTCACTAATATTTTAATAAAAGTCACTTCCAAAGTCACTAATATTTTAAGTTTAGGACCTAATTTTTCCACACCCAACACTTCTGTCAAAATCATTCCACAACTTATCACTGATCTCGAATATATTTACGCAGACGATTTTTTCACCACTTCAAAAGAAAATAAGGAGTTGTCACGCGCTTCCATCTGTAACATTATTTCCAATTATCTCTTACACCCACCGCTCTCCTCTTCTTCTTTTTCTCCTGAATTTTTCAAAGACCTCTCTTTTACCCGATCCTTCTTAAAATCCCACGATAATATAATCATAACCAAAGCTGATAAAGGCAACAAAACTGTAATTATGGACCGTACAGAATACACTGACAAAATGACTTTACTCCTATCAGACCGTTCCACTTACTCTCCCACATCCCGTGATCCTACCTCATCATTAAAAACCAAATTTAACCTACACCTAAAAAATCTTCTAAATTCAAAACTCATAAACTATCCTACTTACAGAAACCTTATCTCCTACAATTCAGTTGCTCCCCGTTTTTATGGACTTCCTAAAATCCACAAACCCGGCACCCCACTCCGTCCGATCACTTCCAACATTAATTCTCCTTCTGTTAAACTTAGCAAATTCTTACTACCTTCCCTACAAATCTTCAGCCACAACAACCCTTATGATATACAAAACTCATTCCATCTCCGTGAACAGCTACTCTCCTTTACCATTCCAGACAATTTTATTCTCTGCTCCTTCGATGTTGAAAGTTTATTTACGAACATACCCATAGACAAGGCACTTACTATAATAGACGACAATTGGACCATCATTGAACCTCACACCTCACTTAACCGCTCCTCATATCTCGAATCCCTTCATCTATGCTGTAAATCAGGCTACCTCACTTTCCAAGGACAATTTTTTAACCAAATCTCTGGACTAGCAATGGGTAACCCCCTCGCTCCCGACATCTCGAACATCGTTCTCAATGATCTTCTAGACACCATTATCCCTCTTTACCCTGACGACATCATCTTTATTCGGAAATACGTAGACGACCTCCTCCTAATCATCAATCCAAACAAAATTCCTGATATTCTATCACATTTTAACTCTTACCACCCCCGCCTCAATTTTACAGTACAACGCGAACTCAATAATTCTCTCCCTTTTCTCGACCTTCTAATCATTAAAAATCCCAATAACACCATATCCACAGACTGGTACACCAAACCAACTTACACTGGCAGACTCCTAAATTTCCATTCCAAACATCCCTACCACCAAAAAATTAACGTTGCGAAAAACCTCATCCACCGTAGTCTCTCCCTCTCTGATCCCCAATTTCATGTTACCAATACCAAACGCATAAAACAGATCCTGTCAAACAATAATTTTCCTCTCCATGTCATTAACAAACTTATAACGGACCACAATAATCGCTCTTCCTTAATCTCAACTTTCTCTAATTCTCCACAACCCATTTCAGCCCCTATATACAGATCTCTACCTTATATTCCTAACCTTTCAGACAACATCAACAAAGTTTTACGATCCACTAACCCTAACTTACGACTTGCATTCAAATCTCACAACACTCTCTCGAAATTATACACATCCCTAAAAGATCCTCTTCCTCTCTCACACCGCTCTCATATCGTTTACCGTATTCCATGTTCTACCCCCAATTGTTTTTCATCCTATATTGGTGAAACCAAAAATCTCCTAAAAGACCGCATAACCCAACATAAATATTCTGTATCCTCTCGTAATTTCACCGCTTCCAAATTATCCGAACATTCTCTCTCCCTCAATCATTCATTTGACTTCGACAAAACATCCATCCTTGCCACTGTTCTCAACCATGACAAACGACTCATTTCTGAAACCCTCCACATCCAGCTTCAACCAAAGACAGTGAATCTTAAAGCTGACAAAAACAACTTTTCTCTAACCTATAGCCAAATTCTGAATTTATTAAAACATCCATAGTTATATTCCTTTCCTTTTTGCTGACAACTCCCTTATATATATATATATATATATATATATATATATATATATATATATATATATATATATATATATATATATATATATACATATATATATATATTCACTTTCACTTTCTATTAACTTTCGTTCAATATTCCATAATTTTTCTACATAATATATCTCTCGTAACTATTTAGGCTTCTACTAGCATTCTTCTAGTTCTAGCTTCGTCCGATAACCGTTACAGATGACGCCACCTCCACATCCCTTCTCTCTCCACCTTCTTTGTAACGACTTCATTCTCACTTTGACATTTTAGGAGAAAGGTACTACTTCTTTTATTTCTTTCTTATTTCAGCTTTCTCAATTTCTTCCCTCCTTCCTTTCATTCCTTTTCTCTGTTGTTAACTCTCTATTATATTATACATTGTCTGTACATCTTGATAGACTTTACAATATCTCAATTTTCTATCAAACTACTCCATTCTCAATGTTTTCATTTTACTATTTATTTTATTCTCATTTCTTATATAACTTTATATTTCTTTTTTATGTTTTTACATTTTATTCTAAGATTCCCAATGTAACACTTTTGTCACCCCCTTTTTGATTATGCCTACTTCATCATTCCACGCTATGTAACAGTCTGTATTATTTATCTCTTAGTTCTTAGTCATTATTCTAACAATTTTATTTTACTTTATATCTATCTATTTTATTTTTCTTTTATCTAGATCTATTTTATCTAGATCTAATCTATTTTATTTTCTCATATTTTTTTTTGTTATTATCTTTTTTACCATCATTACTTAAGTTTCTCATATCTTGTTATCTGGTTATTTTCTTAGCCCTGATGATAGCCTGAACTTCAGGTCGAAACGTCGGCAGATGTAAAAAATAAATATTATAATTTATTTTTGCCTTCCTTTTTTGACTGAGCACCCCAACTATTCTTCTCTTCATTAAAATAAAATTCCGTCGTCCGGGAATTTTCTCCGAAACTAGTAGACCATTTTTTTTTTT